GTTTTTGTTTTTTTTTTTTTGTTGTTTTTTTAAGCAGCAAAATCTCTCTAATATACGCTGCATCACTGGTTTGGTCCAATATATTATCAGTGAGTTGGAAGAAACCGTTTCCAGATATATCAAAGTATTTATAATTAAAGGAACAAAGTAAAACTCATGAATTTTTATTTTTTATTTTATTTTTTTTTAAACTCATGAATTTTGTTAAAGAGTATATACAGAGGTGACTAAAATATTGGTCAATTATCTAAAAATAATCAAAGATTTTGTATTTTTTAAATGTTTCATATTTTCTTTTATACTAATACCACGCTATGTTTCCTTAACACACATTATTACTTTTATTTTAGATGATACGCTATGCTAATTAACCTTTTGTTTAATTCCACCCAAAAAATTAACCTTTTGTTTAATTAGGTAAATAATAATGATTTCCTTTTCAAAATACAATCATTTGGATTGGATAACAGTAACACACATGAATTTTACAGAAAAATAACATGCTATTATCTCGAACGACATATTACTTTATTCATGTAATGAACTTTACAAATAACATGTTATGTAGAGAATATATACAATGCAATTGGTCGTATTATATTAGTATATGATATATAATGCACTAAGTAATAAAATAACATGATTATGGGGAACGTAACAAAAGAAATAATAAAAGAAACTTTTTGATTACAACGTTGCCACTTGATCATTTTATTTTAATAGTATAAAAATAGTATTTATTTTGTCCAGAAGTGTTCCACAATCCACCACCATTGTGTGAACCTTTTTGTTGCTATAATTTCTCACTTTTTTTTTTTTTAAGAAGATGACGAAAGATGTTATTGCTTTTTGAAGTGTTTGCCAATTGCCAGTGTGTAATAATTTTTTATAGTTGTAATAGTATTAATTATCTGGTGAGTGCATGTGAGTTTTCAAATTTGAATGTTTATTTATATCATATTTATCAGTGGTTAGTGGTTATCAAGAACACCAAATTAAATATTTCTGTAAACGTAAAATAAAAGAATCAAATCGAATAAGCAGATCTTTAGTTGACCGTCATCAATTGTCATAGAACAAATATAAAGATTTTAAATTAGTATTCACTAATCAGACCAGGTAGGCAAATTTCCTGAGAAAAAAACGTGTGAAAATTGACAAAAGAAAATAAAAATAAAAATTCCACTACACGTCTACCTACTATACTCTTGTTTGTTTCCAAAATTTCACCAACATTGTTAACTACCAAAACATGATTCTGCAGAAATGAACCCTAAAAATTATTGAAACTGCCCCACACATTATTGTTAACTTAAGTCTTTTAGGGGCATGATTTGTTTCATCATCCGAGTATTGTTTTGGAATTGGTTTCCTAGATGGCACCGAGGCCCGACAAAAACATCATCGGCATGTGAATGAATCATATATAATTTGGTGTTATGTCTTTAATTTTGGATCTAAGTTTTTTTTTTTTAAATGACTTTGGGGGTCAACTTTACTAATTGAAACATCAATAATTCAATACAATTTAGTTTAAATTTGAGTAAAACCAGGTTTCTTTAACTGATTTTTGATAGAGGAACGAAATTTTCTTTGACAAAAAAAAGAACTAAAATTTCAAACCGGTTCAAAATTAAAAAAATTTATACTCGAAGTTACGAGGCTCCAATTCTTTTTAAAAAGTTTGGAAAAAAAAGAAAGAATAACAACTCGGATTTTCCAAAGCTTGGTGAGTCGTGACGAGTGATTTTCTTAACCCGAAAGAAAAAAGAAAAAAAAAGCCTTCAATTATTTTAATTTCAAGTGGTAAAGTGAATGTGACGATTTTGGTTAGTTGAGATGAAAGAAGAAGTTGATGGCTATGACTGGTAAATGTTAGAAGAAAAAAGAAGAAAATAATCAGAAGAAAACAGAAGAAAATAAAAGTACAAATTGGAGGAATTTTGTATACCATGTATTTTATAATTGAAAAGTTTTTTCATTTTACGTCACTTTTTGGAAGAACTGAGAAGAAAAGTAAATCTTCTCTTTTCTACTTGATTGGTTTATTTTTAGTAGAATATAGAAGAATTATTTGTTTATCTTTTATTTTTATTCTATAATGTATAACTAGTCACACCCGATAAAGTGTTCATACGTAAGCAGAATTTAACTTCAGATCCAGCAGCCATCAAATCAAAGGATCTGATGAACGCACAAAAGAAAAGCTTCTTAGTGGACCAAACAAACCAGCAAGGCCTTTCTTTTGCTTAATTTTAAAATTGTGTTTTACATAGAGGCATTAAAAGTTTTTAAGGCTTATCTCTTTAAAAGTTTTTAAGGCTTAAACTAATTTCTTTTTATTTATTGTCAATTTCGATCTTCTTCTTCTTCTTTTTTTTTTTCTTATTAATAATATAAAAACATACAAGCTTTGTGAAATTTATCTCAACTTTTAATGGTTTTGTCTCACATGTAAACAAGGTGTGTAACATTGGTGCTGCGAACACTACTGTGAACCCCCAACCGGGTGTTTAACTAACCCATCCTGGAGGACAGTGACCCCAATCTCTATAATGAAGCTAGAGCTAAGGTTAGGGTGGTATTCACATTAGTGCATAGTGCTTACCATTCTTCAGCAAAAAACCTCTAGAAAACAATGGAAACAAGTATAAGATTACTGAAGCTAGCTGTATGGTGAATACGTGTAGTGTATTGGAACAAGTAGAATAGCGGCAGGTTATGTACTTATGTTCCACGACCAAAGTGTTAAAGAGCTCTATAAATGAAGCTTTCCACGTGACATCGGTATCAACAAAGTACCCCCCATATTGGCACGACTTCAAATGTTATCTTACGCACAAGACACGCATTCGATGACCATGTCCATGGAGCATGAGAACATCCAACTGGCTTTTTAAAGTGGTATGATGTATCCAAAGCCAACAATGTTGGAAGCCCATGAAACTTAGCAGAAATAAACAACTAAGGATGGAAGGACAACATTTTCATATAGTAGAGGATAGAGAGATATATAAACACCAATCCGTTTAGATTAACTATTTCGGTTTGGTCTTGGTACACATACCCATGCCAAAAATTCTGTTTGAGATCAAGTGCTTTGAGTAACATTATTAACTTTACCAACCTGACGATACAAAGAGTCTGGAGACTTTATTCAACGACCTTATTATTAGCCATCAAAACTAAACACGAGTCTCACCGACAAAAGACAAAAACACAATACGAGAGAGACATAGAAGCATCACACAACACAATTATATTATTACATGTTTATTTCTGATCATATTATTACAGGGTTGGATTCTCTGGTGTGAACTTGAGAGAGATACTGTTTACACAGTGTCGCTCATCGGTAGGAGTAGGGAAACCTTCTCCTTTAAAAACATGACCGAGATGTCCTCCACAAGCTGCACATGTGATCTCGATTCGTCTTCCATCTGGATCCGGCTGAGTGAAAATGTAAAAGATGTTTTCAGCAATCAGTTTCTCCAATCATAAATTTACAGTGATAATAATCTTTTGGTTGAGAAATCTTACGGTTCGGTTTATAGCTCCGGGGAGTCCATCAAAGAAAGCTGGCCAGCCACAACCGGAATCGAATTTGGTGGTGGATTTGTACAGAGGAGTTCCACATCCTGCACAACAATAGATGCCGTCGTCGAATAGTTTGTTGTATTCTCCTGTTCCTGGATATCTGCATCACGTATGTAGACCATTAGAATAATAATAGATTTACAGAACTTGGGACCTTGCCTTAGCTCTACTTCACACTGTATAATATTCATTGATCCTTTAACCTCAGAGAAGACTCTACTTAAACTTTGGTGGGATCCTCACGGACAGAAAAAGATTGCATTTCTTTGGCTTCTCGTTGTTATTGTTACAAAACCAAGAAAGACCACGTTAAGAGACAAGACTAACGAGTATTTTCATGTCACACAGAGCAATCCTTCCTGAGAACAATCCTAAAACTAAGGTTCATAGCAACTGAGAGACAACCAGATACAACAGCATCAGAGTTTTAATATCAGAAGAAAAAAGTGAAAAACTTTGAAAAATCTGTTAAACACTCTAATCTTTCAGAAAATGTGTCTCCTAATTGCTAATCTAAGGATCAGGTAACAACATTTATTCCACAAAACTCAATTTTCATGAGAGGATTAGTAGCAATTCATGCTCAATGTATCAAATCACTATATAGCAAAATATTGTGCATAATGAGAAGAATCTAAGACAAGACTCTCGCATGCAAATCACTGGAACACCAATCACCAAGTAAACTTCAATAAAACCCAGAAAGCATTCTCTGTTATACATTTATAATCATCAAACTCTCAAATTTTATCAAGCTAAATACCTAATCAAAAATCGAAATTCAACACATGCAAGAACACTATCCTGAAACAGAACACTCAAAACTCCCAAAACCAAACCAAAACTGAGCCAAGAAAACACTTACTCAGTGCCTTTCTGTCTGAGAATCCTAAATTGCTCAGGAGAAAGAATCGCACGCCACTCTTCTTCCGGCTTATTGACAGATTCCGGAGCAGAAGAACCCATTGCCACAATACGACCACCGTGAAAACCTCGACGGAGGAAATGAGACGGAGACGAAGCAAATCCGGTGGTGGTTGTGAGAGAGAGAGAACGTTTAACGAAAGCAGATTTAATGGTGGAAGCGAAAGTGAGAGACGTGGCTGAATAAACACGACCAGGTGTTATGATATTGAACGCCATTGATGGCTCTCTTCCTTCTTCTTTTGACAACAGCTTTTTCACAGATTCTCTCTATTTTTTTTTTTTTTGTGGGGAACACTCTTCTAATTTGGGCCTCATTTTAAGGCCTTTTTAGCCCAATCTATTTCCTCAAGTAATTTACCTTGGTGCCCCTAGTCGAAATTGATTGAGGTTTAAATGAGGCCCATGTGATGAGCCCTGACAAAAGAAAATTTCGAAGTTAAGTTCACATGGAAAAAAGAAGCAACTAACGCCTGGTGAGAGAAGAAGAGTCGTTCGTATTTAAAACATGGGCATGAATACTTTGACCTCAATAAAGGGACTTTTTTGTGATTGTCAATTACATTCATATTCTTCTTTTTCCAACCTTACGCAATTGTGCAGACCCGATTAATCAGACGGTGGTTCCATACAATGAAAAAACTCGAGATTGGAACCAAAATTAGTAAGTGGGTTTTTTTTTTGCTTGAATAATTTTGTATAGGTTTCGCCGTTTTTTTTTTTGACCATCGATTTCGATTCAATTGTTTTGTTTGTGACGAATCAAAATCAGCTTAACTGAATCAAAAGTCAGAATATTTTATCAAAATTGACCTTTTCTTTTTCTTGGAATTTTTGTAGTGTATCCGAAAGTGAAAGCTGACAACGAAGCTTGTAATTACAAGCAGAGGAGTTCTTGTCTGAACTCGAACTATCTCCAAACTCGTGTCTCTGGTAATTTCTCTGCTTTTTTTCCCTTTAAGTTGATATAAGTTTGACTCTCTGTCAGATTCAAAGCTAGATCTTTGAGGTTGACTAGGTTTTACTTTTACATATATGTTTAGGAACATTGACTTGGTTTTTGATAGAGATCAATTCTATGTGTTGGAAGAGTTGAGTTATTTGTGCTTGTTGCCAATTTAAATCAAATGCAAATTTTCAGAATAATCTATTTTCTTACATTTTCTCTTTTGTCATTTGGTCAGAGAATAATCAAGAAGATGATTTTCAAATACATGTAGCTAAGATTCCTAAGATTTACATACCAAGTGTGCTCATGTCTGAAAGTGAATCCAAAGAAATGAATAAGCGTATTAGAGGAGCTGACATTGAAGTAAAACCAACAACCAAAGCCAGTCCGATCTTACGCCCACGCGCTGTTGTTTCAAGTCCCGGTATTGTTTTCGAGCTGCTTTTCTATCTATGTTGTCACACAATGTTGAACTTCATATATCGGAAACCATGACTCTGCTTTCTAATTCTCCTTTTTAGATAATGATGCAATGATCGGCAACATAAACATGATTGAAGAAAGGAAAGCTAAGAAGGGTTTGAAGAGTGATGATCATATCAGGAGCAGAGCTTCTCAGCCTAAGAATATTGATACTAATGTGAAGATTTCTCATCGTATAGTCGCTAAGCAATCAGGAGTCAATTCAAGGGATCACAAATGATCAACTTGTTTATTGATGATGCCCGGCGAGACTGAACTATATACTAATTCATTCAAGTAGTATAGTCGCTTTTAAGTTTTTTTTACCTTTCACCACGTTTTTGAAAAGTAGTACTGCTATATATGATGCACATGTTAAAAATATAACTGAAAATTAAATAAAAAGTCATCCATCTATTCAAAATATATTAATATACTACTCTTTTTTTTTTTGGTATTATTTAGCATAAATTTTGTTTTCGTTGTTATGTCATTGACCAAAAAAAACCAATCATCATCTTAATCATGCGAAATAATTGGTTTGATATTATTCTAAAATCCATTTTTCGAATTTGTTTTGGAAAATGATTGGCTTCGAGTGGTCATTGGAGGAAAAATGAACAAAATGAAATTTGAGGAATCGAATAACATAATTTTTATTTTCAACACATAATAATTGTTTTTAAGATAATAAAATATCATTAGCGTGATTGCTACCGGATCAATCGGAATCAATTTTGATTATCCATATCCTCTTCTTCTCCGGTATTACCAAAACCCTCATGACTTTATCGATTTAGTTGACATTGTAAATGCGAACATGGCTTCATCAAAGGCAAAGAAAGGACTTGGCGATATGTTTCGCCACGCAATGAGACACCACAAAAAATCTTTAGACGGAAGTCACGAAACTGTATCATTGAGTTCAGTACTCGAGTTTGGACAAGGTACTTCTATGTCTCTAGTGGTGTATAAACCCAAATCAAAATTAGGAGTCGAGTGAATTATGCTTTAGGTGTCTTTTGTTTTATTTTGTTAATGAACTATCATCAAGTGTTTGATATATCTTTTGCACTCTGAAAATGTAATGATTGTTTCAGGAAAATCTAGTGCTAGTGGTAGTAATCGTCTTCGAGAAAGAAATGAAGATGAAGGTTCTTCGAATAACGCATCGGAAAAGTTCGATTTCTTTCATAAAGAGTTTCTTTTCTGGTCAAGGTTAAAACAGGAGCCACGATATAGGAAACAAACAGATCATTACAAGGAAAAACATTCAAAGATTATGAAGAAGATGGAGGAAGGCTTTGCTCGGAAGGTGGGCATCGAGAATCTGTTTTCTGTGTGTGCTAAAATGGGTAAAGAAGTTGGTGTAAATGAATACAACGGAATGATTAAAGTTTGCATACATAGCGCGAGGATAAGCGACGATGTAGAAGCTGCTCTTGATCACATTAGGAAGGCTATTGAATATCTCAAAGAGATAAACAAATGTGGATCCATTATAGGAAAAGGAACGTATGTGCCTCTTCTTAAGTTCTTAGTTGATATGGGAATGGTAGAGGAATTCCAAATTTCCAAGGATGTTATTATAGAGGCAAATCCTGATGCTCTTGGGCAAGTTGGCTACTATGAAATGCTTCTTTGGATCCAAGTCGGCGACGAAGTAAGTATCGATGAACTTTGCTGTACAATTGATGATAGTGAGAATAGTTTATCAATCCTACAAGGTAAGCAGTATATGTGTTATTATATTGGGTTAGAACTCCGGTTTTTTTGCTTGCTCTCTACTCTCTAAGTACACCTTTTGGTTCTTAAACAGAATATTATATGATTGCACTGTGTGAGAAAGACAGAAAGGAGAATCTTCAGAGGCTGTTAGAGATTGTCGACATTACGAAAGTTTCTTCACCACGCCTATTGACAAACATATTTGGATACCTTGGAAGGTCACTTTTGGAGTCTATGGCAATGAAGTTCCTTAGGGAACTACAAATGTGTGGTAAAGGTGAGTATAAATCAACCGAAATAACCTTGCATTGTTTTACTGTATTGGAAAAAAATTGAAGGAAGGGAGATGAATACACTTTGTATACTCCATGTTAAATTATTATACTATAACATATTAAGTCCCTTGCGATAATTTCATAGCACGGTAACATGGTACCCTTAACGTTTTACAGATGGAGTGAAGACTGTTTCAGATCTTATATTTAGCTATGCGACCTGCATTCCAAATTTAACGGTAAGAAGTTTCTAAATATAATGCTTGTAAATACGTCACCTTGCTCTGGTTCTAGATTATTTGCATATGGTTTTGACACTTTCAACATTAATAGGGATTTACAATGTTTCTAACACCTAAAGTCTCATCCTAGATCTTATTTGGTACTGAAATATATATCACTTAGGTGTGTTAGCTAGATTTTGGTTCCAAGCTTTCTGTGAAAAAGTGAAGTTTGATTATCAAATATTCTCTATATCCTTGATCCACTAACCATCTTCTAGCTAAATATTATCGCTCTTCTGATTTTTTGGTATTTAATTAACACCAAGTTGTTAAATGGTTCCTTTTAAGATAAGTCTCTTAACAGTCCATTTTCTCTTATAATATTGATAATTTAAAGGGAAAGGATGCTGTATTGAAGTTCAACAAGTTGCATGAAGAACTAGACATCATGCCTTCATCGACATCTTATGATAAGCTTATTACTTATCTTTATGACTCAAATGAGGTATCTTCACGCTTCTCTTGATCTTTGTTCTTCTGGTTTATTCTCCCCGATTGACTGATGATCAGATCAGATAATCATTCCTCTGTATCGTTAGGTGGCCACTGCTCTCGATGTAGCTGACAATATGCGTAAAGCAGGTCATTCATCATCACATTCCATCGGTGACCAAGATTCTTAATTTTTTAGTATGGAGAGTGAGATGATCTCTATTAAAGGCTGCTTTAATGTATGGAACAAAGGTCATGGACACATAATGGTTCGCTACCAAGAAAGAAATACACATTCTTTTTTTCAAAGATAATTAGAAACAAAGATCGAACTCGTGGGGTACAAGGAAGCACAATAACGCGTTTTTAAGCAGCTCTTGCAAGTAGTTGAAGACTTTCAGGAACATCAGAAGGTTCAATGAATCTCCTTGTCGTAATCCTCTTTGGTACAATCACAGTCAACACACCATCTTCATAACCAGCTGATATTCCGATCATATCTATTGATTCCGGCAAACGGAATTTCCTCTTAAAACTCTTCACCGGCTGATCTGGACGGGTCGCCTCCGTTCGTATGATCAAGTATATCGAATCTTCGATCTCAACTTTTATTTCTTCTTTCCTAAACCCTGTTTGGGAACAAAAAAAACAAACAAAAATGAAGATAATCCAAGATTATTCGTTACAATGAATAAACTGGGAATATTAGTTATTATAATTACCAGGAAGATCAACAGAGAAAGTGTGAGAATCTGGAGACTGAGACCAACGAACATGATTCTCTTGATAGCCACTAAGAGCTTGAGAAGATAAAACATATTCCCATGGCATCACTTGAACTGTCTGAAAATCCATTTTTTGTATTTTTCTTTTTCTTTATTTTTTCTCTTGTGGATTGATTGATTTTTGGTTCTTATTTATAGTAAAAACATAACCCCACATGAACCATTTGAGCAAGTTGTTGTCTAACTTGAAAAGTCGATCTTTAACCCAAAAAAAAACTTCAACAGTCGATAATTGGGTGGGGGGATTGATTTATGAGAAAAAAAGTCCAACAATTTTGTCGACTCTCTCACGAGTGGAGCAATTCTTGCCTTCTTGGTATCTCAAAAAATAAATACTTCTACTTTAAACTTTTTTTTTTCTTTTCCCCGGCGACAAGCTTAAAGATTGATTGGAGTACGATAAAGTATTTTTCAGTTATTGACCACTAAATAAATAATACAATGGTTCCCTTCTAATATTATTTTCGATTTTCTCATATTAATTTAAACGAGTACAAATGTTATCAACCACTCATTTTTGGTTCGACATTGCAAGTTGCAGATAAATTAGCCACTTGTCTGATATCAATGTTTGCAATTTTTTTAGAAAGAAGAATATAAACATTACTTTATCGCGGTTTATTTACCAAAGAGGAAAATTTACAATTTACAGGACCGTAAGAAAAAAAGGAGAAATTTACTCGACCCATCTTTAGTGAATTATTATTAGTTTACTCAATTACCCTCAATTACAGAGATTAATTACATTAGTGCCACTACACACAAAATCTTGCAGGGTTTATCGGCGGGTTTTATCAAACACTTCTTCCGAATGATTCATCTTCTCCGATCTCATGTAATAGGTCTTGATTCGATTTGGTTAACCTTGTAAATGTGAAGAACAATGGCTTTAAAAGCGAAGAAAAGTTTAAGCGCGCTATTTCGCTTTGCGATGAGAAACGCTGCCAAGACTGCTGAAGCCGAAGCCAAAGCCATAGCCGGAGATTCAGTGACTTCCGAAACTGGACTAGGTAATGTCTCTGCTTCTCTGATTTCTCCGATTGGGCCATTTTCAAAATTGGGACTTTTCTTTAGAAACTACGCGAGAATTGAAAAATCATTATTGTGGAACAGTGTCATTGAGTTTAGTGCCGGACCTTCTCTCATCGCTTAAGTCTTCGGACGATTCGTCTATCACTGGACAAGGTACCTCTATGTCTTTGATAGTGGAATAAGAGAATCGTTTTGAGGAATTGATTGCTTTTTTTTGGCTGGATAATGTTTAAAAAGTTATCTACTTTCAATTTGGTTCATCATGATTCTAGTGTCTTTGTGTAGATCTTGGAGAACCGGCACTCGCGGGTCAGGTCTCGTCCGCTTTAGATGGTATGTACAGCTCTTTGTCTGGTGCTTGTTCTTTGTTAATGAGCTCTCGAGTGTTTACATTTATATATGAAATAGATAATGTGTTGTCCATTTGGTACCTTTTCTTTGGAACTGAGTGATTTAATGTTTGTTTCAGTTAAATCTATTGGTAATAGTCTTATTCAAGAAAGAAATGGCGATAATGGTTTTTCGAAGAACGCATTGGAAACCTCAGATTTCCTGAATAGGAAAATTGTTTCGTCGCAAAAGCCAAAACAGGCTTCACGTGGTAGGGTGCAGACAGAGAATTATCAGAAAAAACAGTCAGAGATTATGGAGAAGCTTGCCAAGGGCTGTGTTCGGAAGTTGGGCACTGAGACTATGTTTGAGGTGTTGACTAAAATGGGAAAAGAAGCGGGTGAGAAAGAATACAATGCAATGACTAAACTTTGCATAGAACGCGCAAGGAGAAGCAATGATGCAGAATATGCTCTTGATCAAATTGGGAAGGCTATTGAACATCTCAAAGAAATGAGACAACTCGGATTCTCTATAGGAGAAGGAGCTTATGGGCCTTTTTTTAAGTACTTAGTTGATATGGAAATGGTAGAGGAATTCCAAATTCTCAAGGATTTTATTAAGGAGGCTTGCCCTGAGTCTAGTGGGAGACTTGTGTACTATGAAATGCTCCTTTGGATCCAAGTCAACGACGAAGAGAAGATCCACATACTTTGCAATACAATTGATGATAGTGGGCTTAGTTTATCAAATTTACAAGGTACGCCTACATGTATTGTTATATTCATTTAGAATTCTGGGTTTTCATTTGCTCTCCTCTCAAAGTAACCTTTTGGTCCTTAAACAGAATATTATTTGGTTGCACTGTGCGAGAAAGACAGTAAGGAAAATTTTCAGAAGCTGTTAGAGATTGTCAACATAAGAACAGTATCTTCCCCAGACGCATTGAAAAGCATATTTGGATACCTTGGAAAATTGATGTTGGAGTCTGTTGCAGTGAAGCTACTTTGGGAACTAAGAGACTGTGGTAAAGGTGGGATAGAAATCAATCGAAATAACCTGGTGCTGTTTTACCGTATTGGTATTATGAATTTTTAAGGTGGATGTATTTCATTATATAGTTGCAGTGACCAATTCATGTTTGATGCAAACTAAAAAAGTTCGCTGATGACTCATTTTATAGCATTGTAACATGGTTTCTTGATATGTCCAGATGGAGTGGAGACAGTTTCAAATCTCATATTCAGCTATGCAACCTGCATCCCAAATTCAACGGTGAGGACGTTCTATATATAGTGTTTGCAAAATTGTTGAGGCGGTTGTTAACTCTGGTGTTTTCCTTGTTTCGTTTCTAGAATATTTGCGTCTGATTTTAACATTAGCATGGTGATTTTTTGTTCATTGACAATGTTTCTTGCACCCAAGTCTCGTCCTAGATCTTTTTTGGTATTGAAATAGATATAATTAGAAAGTAACATGTGCCTTGAAACAATCAAATATTTGTTCTGAATCCTATACCATTTTTTCAATGTACAAATTAAAGTGAGTAACTAATTAACTTATCCTTATTATTGTTCGGAAATGGTAGCCGACTCTGTTTACACAAATTGAGATTGAAATCACTCACATCTTTTAAGTAGCGCTAAGTTGTTAAAGCTTCTTTTTCAAGATAGCCTGTGGCTCATAACCGTCCATGTTCTTACATATTTTGGTGACGAAAGGTAGAGGATGCCATTTTCAAGTTTAACAAGTTGCATGAAGAACTAGATGTCGTGCCTTCATCTACATCTTATGAGAATCTTGTCAGTTATCTTTGTGGCTCAAATGAGGTATTTGTACGCTTCTTTCATTTACAACTTTCATTTCCGGTACTCTCCTGGCTCCATAGCTGACTAATGATATTTCCTCTGTGTTGTAGGTGGTCACTGCTCTTGATATAGTTGAAAATATGTGTGAAGCAGGTCTGGTAATATCGGCAAACATCCTGCACTCATTGTTACAGGCCGTTGAGCAGATTCTTGAGTTTAATTTGGTACCGACCTCCTTTTGCTCGAAGCATGTTCCTTGGATTTTCGTCCCAATCTTTTGTTGATTGACTTCACTATTAGTTCTAAATCCAATAACACAGCTAATTTTAGGATGATCATTGATATGCTCTTGATAGATCACCGACATCGTCTTTCTCATACTTTTTCTGTTTCAGGTGCAAAGAATCTATTCAATAATGAGCAACAAGAGTGTGAAGCCAAATAGTGAGACTTTCAGGAGATCGATAAATTTGTGCATAAGAATCAAAGATGTAACTTATTTCTAATTCTATCAGCTTAAGTTCCTTCCTGTCGTGAACTTTTTTTTATAGACCTTAGAAATTAAGTATGAATGTGCTGTTTCTCACAGATGCAACTTTTCTCAACCTATTGGTTCCGTGCAGTTTGAAGGTGCATATACTATGCTTGGTAATTTGAAGAATTTCAATTTGGCACCGAACTCTAGCATGTACAATTCTATAATGGCAGGATATTTCCGGGAGGTAATATCTTAAGCTCTCTTTTCAAATTTTCCTTGTCTCACCTATCATAGGATTCACCAACTATCGTCTTAGCGTTATCGATATATTCCTTTAATCATCAATGTGGAAATATGCATGGAAATAAGATAGTTGCAACATGGAAAGAAGCATGTCTCGTGTAAATTTCTATTGTAGCATTGATATATATCGGTTAGGCAGGTAGCTGTTGTCAAACAATTGATATAGCTTAAGACCTTATCTCTGAAATTATTGGCAAATTCTAGATTGATGGATAGTTCATATCCGTGTCTTCCGTATTGTCTCTTGAGTCGTTTTTTACTGACATTTTTGTATGGTTTTGAAGAAAAACGTGAACAGTGCTTTAAAGGTCCTCAAGGAAATGAAAGAAGCTGATGTTAAACCTGATTCCGTGACTTTTAGCTATCTAATAAACTATTGCGGCGAGGAGGCGACTATTGCGAAGGTAATCAAACTGTATTTCACTGATATTTTACCTTGTCCGAGTCATTTCATGTTCTTCTAATCTTGAAGTTGAGTACCTAATGACACTGTCTCTCTTGTTGTGTTATCAGTTGTTACCCGTAGATACAAACATATATAATGCTAGGGTATGAGAGAAATAATGAGGAGATGATATAAATGCATAATCTGTTTTTTTTTTTTTTTTTGCTTATTCAAAGTATTATAAGGAGATGAAGAAAGCAGGAGTTGAAGTTAATAAGCACGTTTACATGTCCCTTATTAAAGCATATGCATCATGTGGACAGTCTGAGAAGGCAAAACAGGTAAGCATGCGTATTATATGTTCTTTCAAAAGTTCTTGAATGATTATATTCGTGATTTAGTGTAAGAGCTCAAGCTTTTTTCTTACGTTAGGTGCTCGTGGACCTGGAAGTTCCGGCGAAGGATCACAATGAGCTGAAAAGTGTGCTTATATATGCTCTGGCATCAAATGGAAATATAATAGATGCTTTAAGTATTTATGAAGAAATGAAGAATCTCGGCTGCCCCGTAGAGCCAAAAGCTATTATATCTCTTATAGTAAGTTGAAAGTTTGTACTTCAGTCAAATTAGAGATAACATAACGTATTGCAATGACCTCAAATTATTTTTCTGTAGGATAACTCTGATTCGAACGCAGAGTTGAGAACGTTGGTTGAACTCACTCATGAGCTGCGTGATTATAAATTTTGGATAGATGGTTTCTTCAAAATTATTGTGTTTGCTGTTCGCAACAATAGATCAAGGTACAGTGAATTATGCGTGTTCTTTGTTTAGTTCACGTGTACACCATCATTGTTAATTATCCTGTGCTTTATTCAACCTCTTTTGTGTAGCTCTATTCTCGATTTGCTAGAGCAGACCAAAAACCACTTGTCCAAGGATGACATCGCTGTGGAATATTGGTTTGAAGAGGTCTGATTCTATTTTTCTCATACGATTTGAAAAATTTTACTAGCTTTTCACAAACTTTACATGCTTTTCACTTGGTCTTATTGTTAACTGATATATTATAACCTCGGGATTTCTCATATGTAGACTGAACGAAAAAATTCTGGTCTGTATTATTTTCTGAACTCTTGGCATCTTATTGTTGAAATCAGGTGTTTAAGTCAATAGCAGAAACAGAGTCTAATGATGTGAAGCTAGGGCTGGACTTGGTGAGTTTTATGAAAGAAGAGCTTGAGTTATGTCCTTCAAGAAAATGTCTAGATTTTCTTCTACATGCTTGTGTCAATGCCAAAGATAAGCAGAATGCTCTACTGGTATGGAAAGAGTACCAATTTGCAGAACTTCCGTACAATGTCCTCAACTATTTAAGGCAATAGCTCTTTTATCTCCTACCTCAACTATTTTGAACTTTTCTTAGTAGAAAGCTTTCTTCTGGTGAGAGAGTGATGTATAATGAGTTCTTGGTTATATGGTTTCACAGGATGTATCAGGTTCTAGTAGCTGCAGGAGATTCGAAAAGTGCAGAGGCATTAGTATCAAAGATTCCTAATGACGATAAAGATGTCAAATGTATAGTTAAAGAAAGCCGTATTGTATTTACTCCGAAACTGAAAAAGAAAAAGAAAAAGTCTAAAAAGAAAGGATTATCTCTTCAAGCAAAGTAGGATGATTGGTTTAAATCCCACATTGTATGACATTTTGTACAGAAGTGAACACAATTGCCACTATAATGGCTAAGTTTTCTTTAATTCTAATGCTTATTACAACATTTAGACAAGTCTTTTATGTGTTCACCCCGAGGATGAAGCCGTTGCCGTAACAGGGAAGATTGCTGGACTTTGCACAAGACCTTACAGGTGAGCGGAAAGGGTTAGGAGCAACCGGATGAGAGATATTCAGCCCTGCGTTACGCAAAACTGCCTTTGCATTTCCGCAAGCTTCTTCTGTCTTATCAGTGAAGAAACCGGGGATGCCCATATTGTTCACTGTCTCAACCGCTCCTGCCCAGCTCGAGTGCCCGTCCAGGTCACAGTTCAAGGCTACAACGATATCCGGTGAAGTCAGGTACATTACCTCGTCTTGGTACAAACCTTTCACAAAGCTCACCTTAACTCTGCTGTTTGTTTTTGAGGTGGTTGATGTTGTACCAGATAAGTCAGATGGAACCTCAGGTCCGATCATTATGATCTGCACGGTTCCTAAACCATTAAGCAAGTGATTGATCTCTGCAAATGTTTTGATCCAGTCGAGTTCTCGTTCTGGACCTAAGTAATGGACAGTCACATCTTTCCCTTTCAGCAACAGATTCTTGGAATGAGTGCTTACTGATGTTAATATGTGGTAGAGGGTTAAAGGGTAACAGAGAATGTCAGAAACGGGGCTTGACCGTGGTAGACATCGTAAATCATAGTAATCTGACCAATCTGACATGAGGATCATACCCGGGGAACGCCCGTTGTTCAGATTCTGAATCGGTAAATCTTGTGGATAATCCCCGTCCTCTAGCCCTCCCCATGATTCAGATTGTGCATCTGTGGAAAAACACTGCAAGAGTCCGAAAGGTTGGTGAGAATAGCAACTGCATTGTCTTCTCCACATTCCCTTTTTATGGATGCCTAAAGATCCAAGCCATTCACATGGGTTCTCAGCATAACACGAGAAAGTGAAGATCTTTATCTTGAGCTCTTCTTCTCTACTCATCATAGCTTCATAGAGACTACAGACACTCCGATGCATCTCTCGCCAATGCCGTTTCTCACAGTCTAAACCACAATAGATGGTTGCACGGCAATGGCTACAACAAACAGACTCATCTCTATGAGCAGCTTTCTCACACATTGTGCACTGTCTTAAACCCACTTCTGCACCTTGACCTACTCGCAGATTGATCATGCCAGAAACTATTTCCAACTCATCATCTTCGCGTGCCATCGCAGTTTTCTTAAACTTCTGTTCATATGATTGACCGGGAGGATGAGAGACCGTGACAGCAACAAAATCATGACCTTTAAACATCTCTGATGGCCACTGAACATCAACAGTCTCGATAAAAGGTGAAAACTTTATCATCCTTGGCAATCCCCTGACTTGCTTCTCCTCTTGACGCAGCAAAGGATGAACCAAAGAAAGAGCTTTCATCACAGCAAACACAAGCCTCAGCTCTTCGAGTGTCGGGCTTCTAAACTGAAGCTCACCAGAGGTCATGCACCGCGCAACATCGATGACAGGAAACCGATCAGTTCCAGAAACTTCTAAAGACAAAGACTTAACCATCCTCTTGTTAGAAGGAAGCATGAACGATTCACTCTCATAAGTAACCCTAAATACCTCAACATTAGGAACTCTAGCCATTTCCCATGAATCATCATCAGTCATTTTCAGTGCACAGCTCATGGACCTATACATATAGATAGCTATATCACCACCATCACCTCCTATGAACTGAACACATTGAAAAGGCTGTCTCTTTCCTGACCAATCTGAGTCTTTCCCAACCCGAACACCAAACAAATGACCCGGTCTGAGCCTCTTCCATGGCTCACTTCTGTATAAAGAAGCTGAAGCTCTAAAAATGGATTGAATAATGTTGGAAGATATACCTTCAACTTTCATCAAGCATACACCGGATCCAGGTCCAAGACCCGGACCTGACCCGAATTGATCCTGAAACCTACCAAACAAGTTCTTCAAATGCAAATCCATTCTTCAAACTTCCCCCAAGAGTCAGATCTGAGTGAAGAAGAAGCTCTGATGAAAGTTTTTCCCCACAATCAATGATCACTGAACTTGGAACCCCACAGTATGCAGCAAGCAAAAAGTATAGTAACAGAGAAAGATGGAAACTTTTGTTCAATTTTGTAAAACCCAAGCAAACCCAGATGGTATTTTGAAGAAGGAGAGAATCCCAAATGCTAACGGTTGAAGCAATTTGAAATTTTTTAGAAGATATGCCAAGTGTGGTTTAAAATGGTCATGACCTACAAAAGTGAAGAGTAGAGCAACTTTTTTAAACAATAGATCGCGTTACTACGATGAAGTGCATTGGTGATCGGGCGGTTGTAATTAACAAAAGATTATTTGCAATTGACATATGCTAAGCTAACATAGAAGTGGTTACATTTTAATGGTTTTTTATTTCCACCCCCAATTCTATGTAAATCAATTCTTTCAAGTCAACCAACTCTACTAGATACCGGCAGAGTACACTGTATTACAACAGACAACACTGAAGTCTGTAAAACAAGAACTGAAAGAGAATACAACAGAAAACATAATGGAGTAAGTTACACATCCCCATAGATAACAGAATAGAGTTCTCACTACTTCACTGATGGCGTAGCTTCTTCTTCCATGTTGCTATCACCCTTCTTCTCCACTCCTTCAAACAAGTTCGCTATAAAGCCACTCTTAGACGCAGACCAAAGATTTTTGAATCGTTACAGTAGACTTTCCAAAGAGTTTCCAAAGATCCAGAGAACGAAATGGATAAACAAATTGGGGAAGAGATTTATGTGTTGCTTTACTTTTACGCGTTTATCCTTCTGTTCTCCACTTTGCCTTTAAGCTCCAAAACTAAACTCTAATATCTACCCTCCACGTGTCCACTACTTCTTATTCTCCTTATTAATTTGGTCCGGTTCGGTTAAGGTGCACCATTTGTCTCCGGTTTTAAGTTTAAATTAACATATACCGGACAAGACAGGTTGGATTCCGTTGACAGAGGTCAGAGACGGTTTCAGCCACGTCAACGCGACAACGTCCGACGTGAAAATGTAGCTGACGTAATCACGTGATCAAATCACGACGAGCACCTCCGCCAAAGAGATCACGATGGAAACAAAAGTCGCTGTCCATGTAGAGAACAATGCAGATTTTAGATTCCCTGCTCCAACCTCATTACTTATTCGGACACTCGTTATTGATTCGATTCGATCCTCGGGTATGTATCATTACCAGTCTTACGGTGAGTGAGAGTATCATTGTTCAGCAGCTTTGGTTTTCATAAGAAAAGAGATTCTATTTCCTTGTATCAATAAGTTTTTGAATGTCTTTTTTTTTTTTTTTTTTTTTTTGTTATCTATAGCTTATGATAATTGGTAATTTGCATTACAAACAGCTATATCACGTCTTTAACTTTATATGCGTTGAGAACCGTAACTTTATGAGGCTAAAAATCATGACATAGATACTTCCTTTTCTTTTGTAATATGTATAAAATATTTTCTTCAAATAAAAGAAGTTGAGCCATAAATTCTATCGTTTTAGTCTGTTATGTATAAAGCACCAACTTATACGTCCATAACCAAATAAATATATTGGAAAAGTAAGACTGCAATTGTATGCAACTCAAGTCGGAGGATATAAAAAAAAAAAGAATAAAAAGTAAAGGAGACCATTTTGAATCAAGAAGACGATGAAATCTCACTCAGATTCCAATTCGGCAGATCGGATTCCGTTTAATGAGACCGAGATCCACCTACACCAGAATGAAATGGGGAGTTGAGTATATATGGCAATGGAAACAAGGGAATGTTTATTTAAAGATGTCTTAAGAAGAAAAAGATTTTGTGGTTACCTTGTGTCCAAACAAATCTCGGATGTTGTCGATACCATATAAAATCATTGTTGGTCTGGTTTATGAACAAATAGAGAAAAAACATCAGCAATGAACGTGAGATGTTGAGGGGGAGGGAATTAAATAAATAAAAAAATCATACCTTTCAAGACCAAGACCCCAAGCTATGACTCGGACATCCTCAGGGAGACCCATCGGTTGAAGCATTTCGGGTCTGAACATTCCAGAGTTTCCAATCTCCACCCACTTCTTTAATTTTTCATGGTAGCTGAAATCCAGTAACAGACGAGGTTTTACCTTTTTGTCTCTCGGTTTTATGCATTTTACAAGATTAGATCGTTTCCATCAGTTACCTGAAGATCTCCATGGTTCTGTGTAAGGGTTGTACGCTGGCTTGAACCGCAGCTTTGACATCCCTGAAAAACATAATCGCATGAGACTTTGTTTCTCTCTCGAACCATAATTGAGAATCAAATGGCGAAATTAAGGAAGCGTTTACCTAGGCGTGAGAAGAAGTCTTTTAGTACACCAATCAGGTCTCCCAATGTAAGGCCCCGGTCACATATCAAACCTGATCAAAACATGAGATATCATTTAGCCGATTTAATATGCAAATGCAAAAAGTTTGACAGAACATGATGCTAGCTTTGAAATATTCCCCCCAACTGTGACAACATCTGCCAATCAGTACTATACCTTCCATTTGATGGAACTCTGCCAGATGGGTCCGATCAACAGCCTCGTTTCTGAACACACGATCAATCGAAAAATACTTCTTGGGGACAAAAGGTTTCTACAGACAGACAGAAAGAAATCTAGTTATACTACTGAAGTTTGGAAACAACTTTCCACAACCTGTAAGTGGCTAGCTAGTAGCTAGTAAAGAGAATCAATTGAAACGCTAATACGCTAAGGTCTAGTCAGACCTGTGCTAGTGCATAAAGCATCCTAGAAGAGACGGCTGTTGTGTGAGTTCGGAGAAGATTCTTGTTTGCTTCTTCTCTCTTCCAATCACAATTATACCTTCAATCCAAAAGGCCAGGTCAGAGTGATTACACATTAGTTACAACTAATTCGAGGTAGTAACCAGAAATACAAGTCATGTACCCTCTTGATCCGTATCCACCAGACTCATGAACACATTTCACCCTCTCAACATAATCTTCTGGAAGTGTCCTTGTCGTACAAGGAGCTACATTTAAAGAAAGATTTGCAACTTAAAATTAAGAGTTAGATAGTCATTGGGAAGTCATGTCATCAAGCAACCGAGAAAAAGCTGCCCCAAATAATTTCAGAGACTTTATGTACTCTTAAGATTTTGGACCTTTTAGAAAGAAGGTGTCGTGAGAATCACGAGCAGGGTGCTGCTGAGGCTGGAACAATGCATCAAAATTCCAGAAGCTACATAGCATAGGAAATAGATTCAGATCAGCCCACGAATAGCAAGAACAAGTTTCTAATAACATCTCTATATAAGCCTTATACCTGCTCTCCACAAAATTATTTGTTGGCATTTCCTCAAACCTGTTACCACACAAGGGCTCACCTTTAATAATTGACCAGCAACAGAAAAATGGAAAAACTACAATATATGCAAAGAGTCCCTCTCACCCCATCTGAACAAATATGTCTTTAAACTGCTTCCGCACCTGAGACACAGGGAAAAGAAGATAAAATAAAAGCTTAAGAAGTTTGGTTAAAAAATAAGGTTACCCGAATCCTACACAACAGTAGAAAAGACAGCAACTAATATACAATATATACAATTGAGCTATATGAAACACAAAGCTTGCACTAAAGAGATACAACAATTTTTTTTTTGGAGTCAGCTTACCTTGAGAAGAGGGTGAAGAAGGCCAGCCTCAACAGGCGCTCCTTTAGCATTGAAGTTATACTCCTTAAACTCTAACTCTTTCCAGCTGCAGGAGAGTACCAATGTTATTGTATAATTTCTACCTATTCGGTTGAAAAGAGGCAAGGAATGGGACAAACTTTTGTAGATTTTCCCGAGTCAAATCGGTGGACACCTTCTTTCTCTCGGGAGAATAATTAGGACCTTTCTTTATGGAAGAATACCCATTCCATTTACTGACAAGTAGAAAGGATATAAGATCTTGATAAAAGTCTCAAAAAAATAAACAAAACACAAAAGAAAAGTAGAATCAATTACTCTTGTTTTATGAGATTTTTTCTGCGTTTGAGAAAATCGATACTGTCTTCGTCAATTTCCTGAAGGGTAGAAAGGGACACTTAAATTGATATCAATTATTAAGGCAAATGAAACATAGAACTCTCTTTTTAAATGGCATGGCACAAACCTTCCCTTCTTGTATCTGTAAAAGCAGAGCTTGCACTATATCATCTACATGTTGAACCTGCAATAAAATGGCTCAGAGCAATTGATGCAGACGAAACAAACCGAAAGTGAGTACGTGTGAAATAGGCTTAATTGATTTAAGAACACCGTACCAAACATCCAGACAAGGAGACAGCAAACAGAAGTAAAAGGGGATAACGAACCAAAAGCAGATAAAGAGAAACTAAAGCATTTCAGAAACAGTCTTGAATTACCTTCCTCGATACTTGCTTTTCTCCCAATTCCAGCCACTTGTTTTCTTTAGCATATTTCCAGGCAAATCTGTCAATCGATTCACCTAGCTTTTTCTGTAAAAGCAAGAATTTGAAAGACGTTTTTTAATAGCATGACTAACAAATCCCACCATATATATATATATATATATATATATATATATATATATATGTATATACATGTACATTGTGATCACCTTGAGCTCAACCACTGATATGCTACCTTCTTCTGGCACAGCTAAGAAAAGTTGTACCTCTGGTGATCCTTGTGCAGCATATTTGTTCCCTTCTTCAGTCAAAACCCATGTCGTCCTAGTAATGTCCTGTAGAAATCAAAAAATTAACGGGCACGAAGACGGATACAAGATCTAAGATAACAAAAATACGGGTACCTGAGCATCGATGTAACGAAAACCCTGGAGCCTTCTGATGACATTCTTGACTTGATCGTGGTCAAGGTTGTGCTCGGCAGAAAATAGACCCGAATCCGGGATCTGCTCATTGTTCTGCAGAAACCCAAGTATCGCTCTTTCTGCCATAATCTCTTGGACGTAAGAGGAATAACTGAAAATTGGAATACAAGGCCAAAGACCCTAATTGAATAAGAAGATTCTTCGATTAAAGACCTAGTAAAACATGGAACTCTCGGGTGTAAAAAAAAAAAAAAAAAAGTTTTGAAATCTAAATAGGTCTCGCGCGTGGGCTTCACGCGCCCCAATTTCTCTCTCAAAAATCGACTGCGACTTGCAACAGCCCTAATTTCAGAATCGATTTTGCCTCTCCGGCAACGGTGCCGTTGCCGTTTGTCGGAGAGGGTCATCTCTCCCTTCCCCCTTTGTCTCTGTTTGCTTCCTCCGTTGCTCCTTTGATGCTCCGGTGCCCAGTCCACTGCTAGCTTTTCGTCGCTTGATGGTGGTGAAGCGTCGAGTGCTCTTGCACGGTTCAAAGGATAGATTGCTTTCTTTCTCGGTGAGCCCTGGATTTCAACGCTCAAGGACGGTGTTGTTTCTGGTTCTCTCTACCGGCGAGTTTGGCTTACAATCTCTCCTCGTGCGTGTCTCTCCGCTTTTGGTTTTGGCTTAGATGCGGCGGTTGTAGCAGCGTGTTGCTCCTAGCGGCGGGACCATCCTTCTAGGCTGAGAATCCGGTGGTGCATCGCCGTGTATTTTTAGATATCGCCGTTCCTCAGGTGGTTTGGGCATTTCGGTGTTCTCGGTGTGGCGGTTCCTCTTTTCTCGGATCTCTCCGCCTTAGTTTTCTCCGCTCCGGTGGTGGTGGTATTGGAATATGACAAGCGTCCCTTGTGAAGGCAACTCTCGGGGTCAGTTTTGGCTCTTGTGGTTTGTTCGTGGCGGTTAGTGGCGTTGTGGGTTTCTTTCAGGTGGTCAACGTTGCTCCTTCTTCAGTGGGCAGTTTAGGGTGGCAGCCATCCATGTCCATTTCGCCTTGTCTCCCTTTCACTTCGGCTCCGGTTGCTTTTAGGTGGAGTTTTTGTTGTTGTTGTTGTCATTGGTGTAGGTTCAATTTGTGCAGGTGAGCTTCCGAGTGCTATGGCAAGGTTTCCCGAGTGTTGAATAGAGGCGGCGTATAGATTTAAGTGGCGTCGCTAGCTCGTTGATCTAGTGTATAAGTCTGCGGTTGTTTTTGCGTTTTTGCGTTAGTTCTCGGAGAAGTTGTAGGCTTCTATCATGAGGTTTTGAGGACGGGCCTCAGTTAGATTGGTTCGTGGCAACAACGATGAAGATTCCAGTTTTTCGTTTCTGTGGCAACCACGCAAATTTCCGAGTTACGCGATCTCGGAATCGGTGTTTCTTCTCGCGACTTAGCCGTGTTCACTCCGGTTCGATCCGAATCATTTTGAGTAGTAATGTTGTTTTTAATATTCTGTAGCGTGCTTTAATCCGTTTCTAGTTTTCTCTATAACTTCTGTCACAAATTTAAAATGGTATAAAATTTCACCTTTTACCAAAAAAAAAACTAAATGTAATACCTTAACAAAGGGGACAACATAAGTGTGTTGGAGGAGGAGAATATATTTTGCTGCAACTGAAAATAAAATTCAAAGATCATCAAAAAATCAAGATAATAGAAGTAATTGTAGACATTGAGAGAGACATTGTCTTAAGAATGATATAAACAGAAGTAGTTTCATTTGTGGATTTGAAGAAAAATCAAATCAATCTAGAATGAAGAAGAAAAGACTGTGATGTAAAGGTTAAAACTTTCCAGAATCCTAATTCCAAAACCACGCATTCTAAATCACCGAACACCAATCGAACAAGTCTGGAGAGAGTTAATCAAAAAAGTAATCACACAAACATTACAAAAATTGAAGTGGAGAAACCACAAAGAAATTGAAGTGAAACTTGAACCACATCTTAAAACACTAGACGAATCACATGATAAATTATATAGGCTACAAACATGTAGCCACCAAACGTAAAGCAAACATACTCAAAACAGTTTTCCGGATCTCGACTATGGTATTGCAGCACGGGAATGAATCGGTAATGAAAGAAATCAAGGTTTGATGACAAAGGAGAATAAGGGATTTCAGCGCCTAGCGGCTAAGAAAGAAACTCGAGTACTTGAGCAGGTGAAAGGGATAAAATTATTATGGTGTACCGATCGGTTCACTCAAACCGAACCGAGTACCGGTTGATAAAATGGGTCTAAGTGAACCTTAGCCAACACACAGAACAATCAACATATTTTTGTATTATGTCATTTTTGTATTATGTCATTTTGAGCTTTCAGAGTTTGTGACTTTTCTTCTCGTACTTGTGAAAAATCTTCTAATCAATTTGATTTGAGTGATACTTTGTGGTCGAGAAACTCTATTTAACTTAATTGATCAAAGAGATGGATAAAGTCAACATTCAACCAATCAGGTCTTCACTTGCAAGACCCTTTCGCTTTTTTGGTTAAAGAGCGTCTTCAAACATAATCAAACTCACAATGTTCAGGCATAAAAATCCAAAGGCAAAGAAAAAGCATAGTTAGCTAATCCATCTGCTAAACGTTTAGTTTCTCTATACCCGTGAGAAATACAAACAATCCAGTTCTTTAAAGAAAAATTCATAGCACAAACGCATAGGAAAGACACTAGATGAGACTCATCAATCTTTGTCTTAAGAAACTCCAACACCAATTCAGAATCGACCTCAAGTTCCACCCTTGTTACTCTACGCTCCCATGCCATATACAAAACATCCACCCGCTGCTGCCAGTCCCAAATTTCCATGCGAAACACCATCTGTGTTCACCTTAAGCCAGCCACCCATTGGAAATCCCCATGAAATCAACATGGTCATTCTCACCCCCTCCGCTGCTCGTACTCCCTGATTTGAGTGTGCTAAGACGTCGTCTTTCGCATGATCCTTGCAAGACCCTGATAAAACAACAACTAATCAATAAAACAAGAACAAATTGAGAGTTAGAATTTCCTAAGTCATTTCCTTAAAAATTTTATAATTTGCTTTCATACAGAGGAAACAACCTGGCTTTGAAAGTCTTAATCGACCAGCGATTCAATTCGCTAGGCCTTCACACGCTTATAACAAACGAAATTATCTTCTCTACGCTCAAAGACATTGCATCAATGGGTTATTTCATGGTGAATGTTTTTTTCTTTGATCCAAATAAGATGGGCATGACCTGCACGTTTAACTAAAAAATTAAGGATAATATATGTTTATTTTACGAAAATGACTTAATGTATTAATTTGATTTAGTCGTTACAATGGTTTTTGTAATGGCATATCATGGAGCACGGATTAATGTTTTTTTCTTTAAAACTTTAATTTTTAATTTATTTTTGAAAAGTAATTACTGTTATAGTAGTATTTAATGGTTATAAATAAAATAGAATTTTTCCTTGGTCGAAGATCTGAAGAGAAAGAAATGAAGAAAAATATTTAATATGACCGTGATAATATGTAAACAATATTTAATATGATCATAATCACGATTTTCTTGACCTCATCGCAAGAGAATCTTTGTTATATGCGTTACTAGGTGATGCCCTGTGCGTTGCACGAATTTGGTTTTTTTAATTTGATATTAGTGTTTTTTTAATTGGTAAGTTGTAGATTATTGTTTGTAGATTATAACTAGAGTGTGTTAGATCGCTTTGATGCCAAGCTTTTTGTGAGAAAGTAACGTCAATCCTTGATCCATTAAGGTCTTTTAACTAAATATTAGGTGAGTACCCGCTCTACGAGCAGGCTTTTGCTTAATATTTTTTTTTCTTAATTTAATGTTGAATATTTTTGTTGTTCGTTTTGTTGATCAATTTTGTGTTTATATATAGTGTTATAGTCTTATAGATATTTACTTTTTATATATTGTATTTCCTCTTTTACAATTGATATATCTAATTACAAATTTTAAACCTATGTCTACTGTAATAATTAGAGATGGATGGCAGAATAACTTTATCCAAAAAAAAAACACAAATATAAGTAAATGGTTTACTCCGGGTATCCTTTAATAATTTTATATTTTTTTTCTTTTTGCTTAATTCAATGTTAAATTTGTATTTGTAATGTATTATAGGTTTTAAGTAAAAGATAAATTGATGCCTACCAACTATTTTTAGGAGTGAACCAATTTGTTAAAAAAGCTAGTCCATGTGGTATTCAATTGGGCCGAAATACAGCCATGACTTCCAACCTATGTGCGAGTTTGATCCAAGTGGAAGTTAAACGTCGTTAATGCAAGTCAGGAAATCAAACTGGAGCCGTGGTCTCTTTTTCTCTGTCTCCATATGCGTAACTATTGGGATAAACCGGGAATCGGTTTAGCTGGTTTAGTTAAATTGAGATTGTAAATATTTGTTGGTACAATTAGAACAGATATTTACAATCTCAATTAAATAAATATAAGTAAATAAGTTTGTTTACAGACAGCTTCGTGACTCATCCCCATTTCCACAGTCCAGAGGAGCCAGTAAACCACAAGATCTCAGTCTATCTCTGGTATAAAGTCTTCCTCTTATTATAGTCACCCAAGAGTCTTTTACAATCATTTTGTCACTTGGAGAGATAAAGAGTATACATTTATATATTAATAAGAATCCTAGATTCAATTGCTTGTAACTAAATGCAATTAAAATAAAGGAGTCCAACGTTTCATAGAAAAGAAAGAAGTTGTCTACGTACCTTCACTGCTCATTGTCCTCATTCTTTCTTGCATGTCAGCATATGATAACGTTTGAAGTTATGCTAACGCCTGTAGGCACGTTCTCATCAATCTACAGTCCATGCCCAAATTACGAACAATGAAAAGCTAAAAGTTCAAAACGTTTATGTTACTTTCTTGCACATTTCGCGTAGTATTAGATTAGGAGGAGAAAATAAGGGATGAGAAATCAGGTTTGGTTCTCCTGCCATGGAGTCCATGTTGCTCTGAAATTTTATCGAAAAAGTCAAATAAAATCACGAGTTACTCACCTTGATGGTTGGAGCTGGTCGTGGTGCTTTCTTTGGAACAAAATTCTTAATGCCAAAATAAAGGATTTGGTTAGATTAATATGCACCAAACCTTGCGACCCTATAGATTGCAATAAGAGACGGGAAAAAAAGAAACACTATCTAAAACAAAAGTCAAAGCAAGAGACCTTGAAATCTTAGAAACCACCAATGGGAAACTAAAGTAAGTTATGTTTACAAGAAGATGAAACCTTAGCATTACGTTGTAATTAGACTCCTTGTGAGTTTGAAATATCTTCTCGTTAAATACCATCTGCCATAGAAAATATGTAAACTTTAAAGCTCTCAAGTTCTCACAAATCTCTCTCAAACCTCTCAAACTCTCTCACAACTCATAAGGTATACCACAAACGTTGGTTACTCTTATATAGAGGTTATTGAACTTATCCTAATCAAACTAGGAATTGTTTAGATAACTCCTAAACAATATCTTAAGATAAGATCTAGAGACTTGACTTTATCTTCTCCTTTTAATTAGTAACTTGTCGCACAAGTTATTTCTTCAAGCTTAATCCAACAATCTCCCTCTTAAGCTTGAAATCACTTCCCGCCAAATCTTGAACTCCCATGAGATCTCTCATCTCCTTAAATTTTATTCTTCCGAGTGCCTTTGTCAATATGTCTGCCTTCTGTTCTTCACCGGGTACATGCTCCACTTCCACTAGACCATGTTCAACACAATCCCTTATAAAATGATACCTTTTATGTATGTGTTTGCTCCGACCATGGAAGACTGGGTTCTTGGTAAGAGCAATAGCTGATTTATTATCAATTCGAATCACTACTTTCTCGCTTGGTAGCCCCGTGACTTCACTCAACAAATCTTGGAGCCAAATGGCTTGCCTAGCTGCCTCTGTTCCTGCCATAAACTCAGCCTCACAAGAAGACAAAGCCACAATATCTTGTTTCTGTGAGCACCAAGTTATTGGACTTTCACCAAGGTAGAAGATATGTCCTGTTGTGCTCTTCCCGTCATCTAGATCAGCATTATGACTGTTGTCACTGTATCCCATCAGTCTTGGTACCTTCTCTGTTGAACGTTTAAACTTTAGGCCGAGTGTAGTAGTTCCTCTTAAGTATCTTAGGCACTGTTTCAAAGCGTTCCCATGAGACTCTCTTGGACTCTGCATGTAACGACTTAGTACTCCAACACAGTAAGATAAGTCCGGACGTGTGTGTAGTAGATATCGTAAGCAGCCAATGTTCTTCCTAAACAGAGTAGCATCTATCTCCTTTTCCCCTTCAGACTTTGACAAGTTACTAATTAAAAGGAGAAGATAAAGTCAAGTCTCTTGAACTTATCCTAATCAAACTAGAAATTGTTTAGATAACTCCTAAACAATATCTTAAGATAAGATCTAGAGACTTGACTTTATCTTCTCCTTTTAATTAGTAACTTGTCGCACAAGTTATTTCTTCAAGCTTAATCCAACAAACTTGTACGTAATATGGTTTTTGGAACCCAAAATAAAGAGAAAGTCATAAAGTAGACTGATAAAAATACATGGTAAAAAGGTTTTTTTGATTCAATATGCTATGAAGAAGCTTCGAGTTTTTTCGTACAACACAGATACTTGGAATTCCGTTTTTAAGTTTTCTCAAGTGTTCTAGAAGAGATTAGATTTTACCGATCTTGTATTTATGGAGGAACTGCTTGTGATACATGTCATCATAAACTTCATTTAGAAGGGTCCTACTCCAAGGTTTTCTTCATTCAAACCACAAAATCGGAAAAACGGTCTATTTCCCCCCGAGAACTATCGCATCATAACAGATGGAGCCCAAACTTTAACCCCGATCCTAATGTCCCTGAAATGAAAGTTCAATACCTATTTCCCCCCGAATCAAAAGTTCAACATCTAAATGTCCCCGAATCAAAAGTTCGAGAGTTACAACCCCACGGTTCTGGGTTTAGTCAGTTTACTGTAGTCAAAACCCAAAGCTAAACCAATTAAATGTTATGTTAACCAGAATAAACCGTAATCTACCCAATTTCGACCCGATTTCACTCTTTTAACCAAAACCCACGACCCGATTTCACTCTTTTAACCAAAACCCATCAAAATCGAAAACCGAAACCCTAAAATCAGAACTTCAAAAAATCCCCAAATTCCCGA